CAAGACAAATTATATTGACATTAATTATAACTAGAATGGAGTGGCAAATAATTCATGTCGAATTATGATATATTAATGTCATTACTATAGACATAAATTTCAATGAGAGATAGTATTTGTATGAATAATTATTTAGGTGAATAATAATTTGATAATAATAGCTGATTGATAATAATAGCTAGAGTTAAGCTGCAAATTATATATCAATATTTGGATACTAGATATTAGAACTGTTATCATTTTGTAAAAAGAAATCATACAACAAATTTGAGGATAAATTGGGGCTCATACTTTAAAGCTAAATACTTTTTTCCTTGAAAATGCTATTATTGATTATTATAGTATGTAGAAACATTGAAAAACTTTTTGACTTAATCTACAATGGATTCGTTTCTCCATTTTCTTTTTATAGAAAATTTTTACAAAATTATAACAATCTCACCATTTAGTGTCCGAATATTAATGTGAGTCACACTATGTGAAAGCACGTTAACATTAATTAAGAATTGGTGGTAATTGAGTGTGATAATTTCATTGGACGGAAATCTATTACGTTATGAATTATAAAAGATGCTTCACCTAATCCTGTCATCTTAAATTACTCGTAATTCGTTTGCTATTCAAAAGGCTATTACGACAAAAGTTATGTTCTATTAACATAGCCATGCAGTGTATCAATTAATATTTTACTAAAAATTAGTGATTTTCAACAAGTATTTCTCTGAATTAATTTCAAGTGTCAAAGTCAAATGTTACGCATTACATATTTAAAAGATCCAAGATGACAAGTACGATACTTTTGCTTGATATATTTGTTTTTCACATAACAAGTAACTTGCAAATGATTTTAAGTGGCCAAGTTGGTGACTCATCTATATATCACGAAGATGTCAAATTTGAAAAAAATTAAATTAGTCTTTTCAAAAAGACTAGTTTGGCATTCGATTAGCTAGAAAATATTTTTAACTATCATATATATATATTTAAACTTCTTTATGTATAACGAGTATATTATAATTATTGTTTATTGCATTAAATAGTATAAAATCTATAAAACTTGATGCGCGTATACTGAACAAAGGTAATGTAATTTTTGTGTATTGAATTGAATATATGCAAAGATCGGAAAAATTATATCGTGAATGCGACGAAATAATTTTTATGCAAAAAGATATTGAAGTGCATATTTAAAAAAACAATTGCTAATGCATTTTAAAGCGTGGTGATATTTATTCTCAATTAACATAAAAAAAAAAAAAATAAATAAATAAAGATCATGTACCATGCTAAAATTTATCTCGTATATTTTAGTTTCAATAGCCCTTACAAAAATATTTGTAATTTGTTTCATGTAATTCATTCTTCAAAATTTAACCGAGACTCAAAGGGTTAAAAACAATATATTACAAAGAATATTTAAAAAAAAAAAAACACAATTTACGATGTGTTTCACCGTAATGAAACTATGTATATTACTTTATGTAATCCCCTATTTTTCGAATATTTTAATATTATAACACCAGAACATTCGTTGATGAATCTCTAGTTAATATTCTATTCTGATATTATAATATTCAAATACAATAGAACGACTAACTGTCCGATGCTAAGTTATATCAGAAAACATGTCTAGAAACGAAGACTATTGGGAAGATCATTGATTTGTTCCAATATTTAAAAATGTTATATATTTTTCAACTATTGAATTACCTTTAAATATGAATAATTTCGTTCTGTTTGTACTTCAAGCCGTCGAAATCCTGCCTTTCGTTCGTCATTTCAATTTAGGCCGATCATGAACTATACGTTGACTTGATGACCTCTTAATATTTCAACCTTGCATCCCGTAGTTTGGTAAGTTCCTTTTGCAATTCTGAAGAGCACGCAACGAAGATCTATTTGTACGAAATAAACTGACAGAAGGAAAGGCACTTATCGTTAATAAATTATCGTTAATATTGGAAAAACAGAGGATTAGAACATATCAGTTTTCTATCGTCAGTCGTAAAGGAAATTAAGATTGTCCACGCAAGATGGTCTCGATGAACAACTCTGTAGATCGTTATTTGATAAAGGAACCCTGTCGTTGGATGGACGCCAAGATATCTTTAAGAAAAAATCGTCCTGTTCGTTACCAGTGTGCAGTAATGGAACGTTTATCCTCGGACTTTCTTTGTAACACGCGTTCTGCCTGTACTAGACGCGATCCTCTTCCTCCAGGAGTCGCACCACCTCTGCAAAGCAAAGTTTCCCCATGATTTCAGCGTTTAATGATCATTACGTTTCTTAGAGAACGTGATTTATATTCTGTCGGATGAAAGTTTCAACTTTCAGTTAAATGATTGGATATATATTTGACATGCAGTATATTCTCTATATTTTCTTTGGATAAAATTTACATGTAAAATGTATATCGTATATTAAGCCATTTTTGCCTTTTGTTGTTGTTCAGGCCATTTGATATTTTGACTAAAGGTTGTGATTATCACACAATCTTTCATTACATCATCAATCGATAAGTAGTTCTCTTGT